ATCATGAAGTAAAAAAAAAAAACGGATGGGGGAACTTTACAATGGAGGGATCAGGATGTTCTCCGAAACACAGTCCGATGACAGCATCACTAAAAGTGGGGTAACCAGACCACAAGTGCCTCCTGAGGTGACACTACATAAAGTATACAGCAAAAGGAAGCAGAATTCTTGCCAGAGTAGTTAAATCTGAATCCAATCAAGCCTCTTGATCTAACTTCCAAGTTCTGGTAAATTTGAGTAATAGAGAAAAAAGTTAAGTAACAACAATCAGCCAAACCCAGTATGTGGAAAGTTCTATTCCCAAAGTAGCTTAATTTCAACAAGTGAATGACTTGAGAAAAGAAAGGGAATATTCTAGATAACAGTTTTATGAGACTCAATAGCCAAGTGAAGTGTATGCACTTCTTCAGATCTGGTTCAAACAAACCACCTATTAAAAGAGAATTTTGAGACAATCAGGGAAATTTGAATACGGAATGAGTAGTAGATGATACTGAAGAAGTATCATTCATATTGTTAGGTGTGACATGGCAATATGGTTCTGTAGGAAAATGTGCATGTTAAAATATGCCTACTGGAGAATGCAGGGGTGGATATGACACGATGTCTACTTCTAATGACTTCTGATAAATAGAGAAGGAGATAGATGAATCTCAGTGTGTGCGTATGGTTGTTCATTGTGCTATTCTTATACGAAAGTATAAGTTTGAATTTTTTTCAAATGAAATGTATTTTTAAAATATAGAAAACAAAAACTGGCCGGGTGCAGTGGCTCATGCCTGTAATCCCAGCACTCTGGGAGGCCGAGGCGGGCGGATCACGAAGTCACGAGTATGAGACCTGCCTGGCCAATATGGTGAGACCCTGTCTCCTTTAAAAACACAAAAATTAGCTGGGTGTGGTGGCATGCATCTGTAGTCCCAGCCACTCGGGAGGCTGAGGCAGGAGAATCGCTTGAACCCGGGAGGGAGAGGTTGCAGTGAGTCAATATCGTACCACTGTACTCCAGCCTGGGTGACAGAGCAAGACTCCATCTCAAAAAAAAAAAGAAAAGAAAAAAGAAAGAAAAAGCAAAAACAAAAATCAAGAGAAGAAAAAAGTCTTAATAAAAAAAAAAAGTCCCTGGCCAGAAGCGGTGGCTCACTCCTGTAATCCCAGCACTTCAGGAGGCTGAGGCAGGTGGATCACTTGAGGTCAGGAGTTCAAGACCAGCCTGGCCAACATTGTGAAACTCCATGTCTACTAAAAATATAAAAAATTAGCTGGGCGTGGTGGGGGGCACCTGCAATCCCAGCTACTTGGGAGGCCGAGGCAGGAGAATTACAGGAACTCGGGAGGCAGAGGTTGCAGTGAGCTGAGATTGCGCCATTGCATTCCAGCCTAGACAACAAGAGCAAAACTCCGTATCAAAAAATTAAAAAAATTTTAAAAAAAAACTCCCTTTTCCCTACTATTTATATACGAAAACCTTGATATGAACAGTATACTCCTTTTTTTCCCCCCAGTTAGTTACTTACACAGTTATACTTTTACTGGATATGTATTCAAGGTACAATTTATTTTTCAGAACTGGTCTAAATCTTTAAGGTGTTTGGGTGACTCATTTTTCTAAAACCTCACCAACCAGATTGAGAAGGACAAACACACAGGCCAGAGCCGGCCTGGGGCACAGCCCTTCTCTCCGGACAAAGAATCTTCTCTTGTCCCTCCTTTGTTCCCATTCTTTTCAACAGGCAGGAAAGAAGTTCTGGGGTCTCACTCCTTTTCCCTGGAGACAGGAGGTGGCTACTGGCCTGCTACCTCCCCTGGGTCCCTCAGCTCTTCAGATTAGGCACTCCTTAAGCAGAAGAGACTCCCTTCAACCTGAGGGAAAGTCCAGGACAGGAAGAAACAGGGCAGGTGAAATGGTGTCTGCACGGCCAATTCCTGCTTGCTATTCTCTCCATTTCCACTACTCCAGGGGGAATTCTCATGATCCACAAATGATAAAAGGGAGCCAATGGCACCTTCCTCACCATGTCAGGGTTGAACACTCTTTCTCCTCTTCCAGTTTTTACTTAACCATGTTATTTTTGCTCACTTGTTAGTTTTACTTTTTTCTTTTCTTTTCTTTTCTTTTTTTTTTAAACACATTTCAACCTGTTTTATATGTCAACAACGGCTCTTAAGCCCTCCCTACATTTTTTCCCCCATTTTTTCAGTCTTGGTTGTCACTTCCTCAGGGAGTTAAAGGAAATGGAATGTGGAGCTGATAACAGGAACTCCAAGAAAATGAGATAAGGGGGGTTTCTGAAAGCATTTCTGAGTGTATATGCACACACACTCTTTAATTCCTGTGACTAAAAGCAAACAAAATTCTTTCTTTTCTTTCTTTCTTTCTTTTTTTTTTGTCGGGGGGAATTGGGGGAGATAGGCTCTGTGAATCTAGCAAACAAAATTCATGTAGAAAATGAGATATCAATTCCCTGAATTTCCCCTTCAAAAAAGAGTTTAGTTTCCTTCTCCTATAGTCAAGTCACAACTCAGCAAATGTGTGGAAACAAATTTCCAGGTACTTTATTTCCATGAACTTAAACTTGATAGTCAAAGGGACTCATGCACAATTTCACGCCTGCATGTGGTCAAGTATTGAGAGATCCTAGGCAATGCTGATCTAAGAGAATCCATGAGACGGAGCAAAGTAATGCAGGCAGAAGGACACTAAGATACTCAAAATAAAAATCCCATCCATTGGTCTTCTTTCCTGTGTGCCTCAACATTTAAAAATGGATACCAATCAAGAAAAGATTTACAATGTGTCTGATGTATCTAGGGGGGAAAAAATGGATACCCTGTGGTCTAAAATCTGCTTAAGTAACAGGCATTACCAGTTGAACTCTAAATGTATTATGGGAAAATATCTGTAAATCTTATGCTTTAGTAAAATAATTGGTTTAAAAAGAAGAAGAAGAAGAAGAACCATTGTTCTGGGAGTATATCAGTTTCCCCACACTGAGTTTAGCTAACGCAGGCACAGAAATGCTATGCCCATAAGGACCCTACGATTTGAAATGCTTCCATGGTTAAAGTATTTTATTACCATATAAACATTTGGTTCAATATCTAATTGACAGAAACATGATTGAATGAATTTCATTTAGCAACAATATATAGCAATCAAAGATGAGGAAAGACAAGTTTGTGATTAACTACAACTCACTGTGATGGAGGTATGTCTAATTCTTATGGCAAGATTTCTCAATGCTAAAAGTTCTGTACATATGGAGGGCACAGCATGACTGCTCTCTGAGTCGCCCTGGTGTCCAGAATGAGTGAGGGGCTAGAAAATGGACTCTAAAGCCCTACAGGGATCATTAAAAAAGAAGTCTACTTGGTGAATCAGTTTACCTCCCTGGAACCAAAACAGTCAGATCAGGCAACTGAACTCTTAGGTCGTGAAATATCAGACTCTGAGATGACATCCTCAACATCTGGAAAAAATGATGCAGAGCACATCACTATGAAAATCAGATCTCCTAATTAATCCCACAGCCTGAAACATCTTACCTTTGAAAAGTCTTCTTACTTCATAGGTAAGCCTGGCTGGCAAGTGTCAGCTTCTCAAAGCTCATATATTTTATATAAAATAATAAATGCTGAAATAATGGCAGAGGATAAATACTAATGGAATGTTATGTTAAAGTACATAGAAGTGACTTCATATACAGACAGCAGAAGAAATTGACGCTTAAAGCAGGACTCTTCAACTCAAAAGCCTACATGTCCCAGGCAGCTGCCATAAGCTGTAAGATTGATTCAGTTAAATATTTAGGGAATGCAAAATACTAGCAAAGTGCAGTCACTGGGATAGTAACAAGACCAGATTTTTAATCTTCCAAGGGAAACCAGATATCTGATCTATCTGATCTTTATGTGAAGTTTCCAGATTTTCAAACGTTGGCAATTAATTTTCTTACAAAAAGAAAATTTTTACAGGTTAAAAAATTTTAGTAAAAAATTTGACCTGTGGGCTACTACTTTGCAAGCTCTAATGTAAAATGCACTTTTAAACAATACAGTAATAAACAGGAAGCTTCTCATATAACAATGATTACACTAAATTACTGGGCCTTGGTTTCTGCTCTACCAAGAGGGACCAGTCCATGCTAGGAAAGGGCGGGAGTGGCATCAGGATACAAAAGAAACTTTCCCCAAATCATATATGTCTGAATTATCATCACCACTACCACCACCACCCCTGTGCCCATGGCAAAGAAGGTTTGAGCAGAGGATGTGCAGCTTGTAAAAAGCTCCCAAAGACGATTAATGCCACAAACTTCTACCCTGGGGATGACTGACTTTGAAGAAGTAGAAAGCTTCAGATAACTGGGAAGTGTGCAGCTAAGTGGTGAAGACCACAAACTCAGTAGGCCTAAAATATCAAATAGTATATATCAAGGGGCTCTTATATTGCAGTTAAAATAATAACTGCAAATATGAAAGATGACAAGGAGACCACAGAAAGTATTGCTAGTACCACATTAGCCATTTCAGTCTCATGGGCAAAAAGAAAAGTTGACTGTCTCGTTGTTTATTGTGGAAGATTATAAAAGCTGGATGCATTTTAAGAATGTGTACCTGTAGTCAAATGTGGGTTTGTGGATATGTGTATAAAGAAAGCAAGGATAACATTTTGTCTATTTTAAGGTTTAGGTCTATGTTCATTGCTCAAGAAAGGAAAAGCAGTATCATATTTCCACATGATGCCAGATTACATACAGAAAACAGAAAATGGTTACCAAATATTTTCACATTTTTCTACTTCCTATCCTTAAAAAAAAAAAAACCAGAACTTTTTATTATGAGGATTATGACATATTATTTTAAGATCTGACATACAAATAAGAGATATAAATAAACACCTTCCTGTAACTGTGGTGTCTCACTAATCTTTTGCTATTATTAAACACTGCCTAACCTAACCCTGCTTTTGGTTTTAAGCTTGTGTTCTTCTAACTCACCTTGCACCTTGGAGTCAAAGTCTTCCAAGTCAGCTTTATCGTCAAAGCTGTTTCACAGTGGTTTATCCTCAGATGCCTGCAGCTTTTCTCCTTGGGACACGATGTGTCTTTGACCTTGCTGAGGCTCTCTGGGTAAATTACAGGGGTGGCTCCTTAATATCCTTTTGTTGCTGTTTTCCCAGCAAGTGGCAGAACCTGAAAAAGAGAGATTACAGTCATATAGCACATCTTTACAGAACTTTGGTGAGCCTCTCACGGGGACTGCCTATGGACAATCAGAAAATTCTTCCTAATTTATCTTTCGAAGAGGAAGTTCATATGGGTACGTGCCTCAGCTTTTTATCTCCTTTGTTCAGTTTTATGTAACCTCAAAGACGTACCACTGACCTTCTCAGTAATCAGTAACATTCATAATTTACATCTTACCCAGAGCTTGGAGTATGAAAACTCTCAAGTGATATGGCAAATATTTCCTAAACGGGGACAAAATATATTTTCCAGAACCACATTTAGCTCTCCAATTAAATACAAACCTCAACAGGGTTTTTTGTTTGTTTGTTTTTTGTTTTGTTTTGTTTTGAGACAGAGTCTCACTGCGACGCCCAGGCTGGAGTGCAATGGCGTGATCTAGGCTCACTGCAACCTCCGTCTCCTGGGTTCAAGTGATTTTCCTGTCTCAGCCTCCTGAATAGCTGGGATTACAGGCACACACCATCATGCCCAGCTAATTTTTGTATTTTTAGTAGAGATGGAGTTTCACCATGTTGGCCAGGCTGGTCTCGAACTCTTGACCTTGGACGATCTGCCTGCCTCAGCCTCCCAAAGTGCTGGGATTACAGGCTGGGCCACCACGCCTGACCCAATAGAGTTTTAAAAAATAGTAAGTATGAAGTGGTGTGCCTGGACAAAAACCCATGAACAGTCTCTAATTTGCTATAGAAGAGGAGAACTGTAGCCAAACTCCTAGAACAATCCTCTAGCAAGAAGAACGGACTCTATACATACTACAAAAGAATATAGTTTTTAACTTGACCTAATTTCTCACAAAGCAAAGAAAGAGTATGCTATGGTCTGGATATAGTTTGTTTGGCCCCACCAAGTCTCATGTTGAAATGTGATCCCCAATGGTGAAGGTGAGGCCTGGTGGGAGGTGTCTGTGTCACAGGAGCAGATCCCGCATGAATAGCTTGGTGTCACTCTGAGGAGTGAGTTCTCACTCTTACATCCCAGAAGAACTGGTTGTTGAAAAAGAACCTGGGACCTCCTCTTTTCTCTCTCTCTCTTGCTTCCTCTGTCACCATGTGATCTCTGCATAACAGCTCCCCTTCATCTTCTGCCATGAATGGAAGCAGCCTGAGGCCCTCACCAGAAGCTGATGCTAGCACTGTGCTTCTTGTACAGCCTGCAGAACCATGAGCCAAATAAACCTCTTTTCTTTATCAATTACCCACCCTCAGGTATTCCTTTATGACAACACAAATGGACTAAAACACAATATTTTTACAAGAGAATAAATAAATTCATCATAAGAGAAAAATCTCACAAGTAATCCAAAGTAGAAGTTACTCTCTGATCCTGAAACATGACAGATATTTTTTCCTTCCAGCCATAAACCTCTCCAGCAGGCTCCTTTATTCACAAGCCAGCTTTAAAAATCACTCCGCAGGTTTGACTTCTTTTTCAAGCCTATTCTTTCACTCTGTTTTAGTTTTCCCTTTTTTTTCTTTTAACTTATTGAGAAGGGGAAAAATGCACACACAAGCACATGTATACATACACACATATTCTAAGACTACAACTTATTGAAACTGCAAAAGATTTATGTTCTGCCAGCATCCAATGCCATGACTGCCCCCCTAAGTACCATCTTTCTGAAAAAGTTTTTGTTCTAACTCCCCTTCCACTTCCTTAAATTAAAAAAAAAAAAATTCTATGTAAGACAATTCTGTGTACCTTGTAAGTTCTGAATAAAATTTAATTGTTGATTATGATGATGACCTTGAATACAAAGGCTAAGGTCCATCAGGATTCTTTTTGTATGCTCAGCATTGCATCTTTTTATTTTCTGCATGCACTACTCAATCTATGCTCTTTAATCTCATTTAATTATAGGCAGGTAGAATATGAATTGTCAGCTATAGAAACTCCCCTGGCAGGCCAGGCGCAATGGCTCACACCTGTAATCCCAGCACTTTGGGAGGCTGAGGTGGGTGGATCACCTGAGGTAAGGAGATCGAGACCAGTTTGGCCAACATGATGAAACTCCATCTCTACTAAAAATACAAAAAATTAGCTGGGCATGGTGGCAGGCACCTGTAATCCCAGCTACTCGGGAGGCTGAGGCAGGAGAATCGCTTGAACCTGGGAGGCATAAGTTGCAGTGAGCTGAGATCATGCCATTGCAGTCCAGTCTGGGCAACAAAAGCGAAACCCTGTCTAAAAACAAACAAACAAACAAACAAAAAAAACAGAAAATCCCTTAGCCACCTCTTCCTTGCTCCTTCCTATGATGAACTCTGCCAAGCTTTGGAAACAGAGAAGACACTGATAAATGAAGAGAAAAAAGAAAAGGCATGCTAAAGAGTCCCCTGTGCTATCCTGCTTGAACCTGGGAGGCGGAGGTTGCAGTGAGCCTAGATCACACCATTGCACTCCAACCTGGGCAACAGAGTGAGACTCCATCTCAAAAAAAAAAAAAAAAAGTCAAAAGCAATTGCAACAAAAGCAAAAATTGACAAATGAGATCTAATTAAACTAAAGAGTTTCTGCACAGAAAAAGAAACTATCATCAGAGCAAAGAGACAACCTACAGACTGGGAGAAAATTTTTGCAATCCATCCATCTCTGACAAAGGTCTAATAACCAGAGTCTACGGGGAACTTAAACAAATTTACAAGAAACAAACAAACAACCCCATTAAAAATTGGGCAAAGGATATGAATAGACACTTCTCAGAAGAAGACATTTATGCAGCCCTGCACACAATTTTTAACTCTCACACTTACTGTATGTTAGAGTTTAAAACTGAAATTTACAAGGTTTTGACTTACATGTATTCTGTGAGAAACTAATCTATTATTGTCCATTTTGCTATTAAGTGCATGAAAGTGTATATTTTCACACAATGCATATGAAATGTCAAAGAACAGAGGTTTTGGCTTGTTCTGCAACCATAATTAATGTTCCTGTGAATATTCTGTACTTTCAAAAAGACAACTGAGATGAAGTGTAGTACCCGCTATAACCTCCAGGGGGACCGAGTACTCTGAGTTAAAAATTACCACCACATTATTAACACATGGTTCAGTTATAACCAATCATCTCTGATCGTTACTCAAGCCAAAAACATTAGAAACATTTGTCTTAATTCAGCTTCAAAAGCCTGATTAGGACATACAGGGTATTATAGTCACATTCACATTCCAAATTTCTAGGTGACATATATTAACTAATTTTAGAAAGCCAGAGTTCACTAAGTGGCAACTCAACCTCATTTTATTTTATTCAATTTTATATTTTTTAATTTTTTTTTTTTCGAGACAGAGTCTCACTCTGTTGCCAGGTTGGAGTACAGTGGTGCAATCTCGGCTCACTGCAACCTTCACCTCCCAGGTTCAAGCAGTTCTCCTGCCTCAGCCTCCCGAGTAGCTGGGGCTACAGGTGTGCACCACCACACCCAGCTAATATTTGTATTTTTAGTAGAGACAGAGTTTCACCATGTTGACCAGGATTGTCTCGATCTCTTGACTTTGTGATCTGCCCGCCCCGGCCTCCCAAAGGCATGAGCCACCGCACCTGTTCCAACATCATTTTAATTAAGAAATTACACTGGGTCTTGTTTTACCTTGCACATAAACTGCATGCAGGGCAGAAGTCCAAAGATGATAAGTATATAAAGTTCAAGCCTGATTACTGTTTGTGACAAAGTACATTGAAGAATAATTCTTAAAGCCACACTAAGAAATACCCTAGTTAAGAAATATACTCAAGAGATAGGAAGATTGGTTCTTTCAAAAAGTATAACCAAAATTGATGTGCGTGTGTGTGTGTGCACACGCGCATGCACACACACACGTTTTCTTTTCGTACAGCACATCTGGTTTTAACTGAAACACATTCACAATAGGAATCATGTTCTATTTAAACATACCCTCTGTAGATCAAAAAGGATCCTAACATTATCTTTCTAAGTCATTAATAAGTAAAAGTTGTAAAAGTTGAAAAGGTTGATTTAAACAAAATTTCCCACACTAACCAGTACTAGCCAGTGGGCGTCTCTGGAAAATCTCATTCAGGGGAGTTTAGTGACTTGGCAATGGTTCCTTCTGAATGGCTCATTCAGGAAGCAAATGATCCATTATCTTTGCAACGGAATTTTTCCTTTAAGTTATGTGACTAATCCTCCCACAGCCGGGGTTTTGCCTACATGTTCTTGTCTAGTGCATTCCCTGCACATTCCTCTCCTTTCTTATTCAAGCCCATCAGAAATCATGATGTAGTCTACCAAAGATTAGATTGTCCCATGTAGCTAATAAGTAAATGCATATAATGCAAAATGGAGACAAGATTAAGCAAGCCCAAGCACTCTGTTCAATAATAAAGAATTGTTAAAATAGTAAAGACAACCAGAAGAATTATCTATGTAATCTAGATAGCAAAGTCTATTTCATACCAAAAACAAGAAACGAGACACTTTTGATCATTTTCTCACATAAATGGGCCATGGTTTTATTTCAATGCTCACACCATTTCTACAAAGAAGGATTGGTCTCAATTTAGGGTTCAACATCCTAAATTGCTTTTCTAGAAAACTGTAGCCCAATACACAGTACAACACCTTTTTTTTATTATCTTGCTTACTTTGCCCATTGTCACCACTAACTTCATTAGTTAGTAAAAGATAATCGGTTTGCTTTTTTCCACTGGCAGCAATGTTCAGACAAATTGATTTTTCTTTTCCTACCTATGAAAGTTTCAAGTTCGCTGAGGGTATCTAAGTCTCTGGAGAACATAGTTTAAGTGCCACAACCCAATAGGTTTAATGGAAACAGGTTGTGCTGGGGTAACTTCCTGAAGATGATACATAGAAATTTCAGTCATTCTTACATAGTAACCACTGTGGCTTTCTTGTTAATGAGTAAACAGCAAAAGACATTTAGTCTCAGAAAAGTATCTTATCTCATTAATGCTACTAC